GGAGAAGGGGGGATCCAAAGGGGGAGGGGATGGGAGAGTTATATAGACGGGGAAGTGAGACATCAAATCTTTGTATGGGTCCCACTAAAAGAACTCAATAGATTTGTTGGAGCAAAAGATCCTGTTGTCCCACCTCACTCACATTTTTCTTTATTTTTATTAATAATAATTATATGAAAAAATGAATTAAATGGTTTAATTTAATCCACAATCTTTGTAAAGTTTTTTTGTCTGCATCCAATTTCTTGCAAATCCAAGCAACGTTGCTTCTCTCGTTCTCTTTCTTTATTTTATTTGGGATAAGACTATTACGAGATGTACACACTTCTAAAACGTTCAATTAGTTTCTTTCTAAATTTATTTCTAAATTTGAATATCCAAATTATTGGCCATTAAAATTCCAAACATTAAACTCTACTATCTATAAATGTATACATAGATATTCAATATTCTGTTTTTTTATGTACTTCAAAAGTGTCTATTTCTAACTTTGATTAATATGAAATTTTGGTTAGAATATTGATTTATACATTATATTTAAATAATTATTTTTGTAAATATAAATCACAATATTCAAATTTGAGTGGTCTAGTGGTATGATAATAACATGTTTTTATCTTGGGTTCAAATCCAAGTGTGAAAAAACATATTCACCCGAATTTGGACTAAAGGACCGATGAATTTTTAGAGATTATATATAAAAAAATGAATCACAATAAGCGAACCAAATCGTAGTCAATAATAGAATAGAGACGTTGGTTACACACAAATGACTCGCCGGCTAGACCAATAAAGGTCGTTCATATATATATATATATATATATATACCATTATTTTGCAATGCTCGTGTTTAATGATATGATATAAAAAACAAGCATATAGCATACCAATGACATATCTTTAACATTTAAATTTTAAAATAAAATGCAATAGGTGATGTCGGTGTCTATAATGTGCAAATATAAATATATCAATACACTCACCTAATCAGAAGGAATTAAGGATGTTTTATTTACAATCAGAATTACTGGTTCCTGGTCGGTTGTTATGATCATAAGAAATTATTTGGACCTTATATAACAATGCAGTGAATGTGACAGTAAATATTTTCCAACCAATAGATAATTTATATTCGTAGTTTTAATTTTGAAAGCAAATAGATTTATTCTATTATCATTTAAGAATTTTATTAATTTTGTCGAATTCGGGTTTTTATTATTTTTTAAATACTTGTTATTTGATTTTTATTATATTAATTTAATTTAAATAAAATAAAGTTTTTATTTAGTTTGAATAAAACAAAATTTAATATGAATTAAATTACATTCAATTTATTATTTAATTCTGATTCTGTAGAAAAATTGAAAGAGACAAAGTAATTTTCTTTTAATAATAATTGTGTGCGCGTTAGAAAATAAATTACGTGGTAGACAAAGAATCATCCAATTAAAACTCAGCCATGTGTCACAGTGCATTTGTTACTTTGTTGAATGAATAAATGAATGTCAAAGAAATTCACCAAAAAAAATCTATATATATTAATAAAGGAGTTTAAAGGATTGTGGTGAAGACACCTCATCATCCAAATCATCAAGTTTATCAAATTTAATTGGTCATTTGAAAACACCTCATCATCCACATCATCATCTATATATCAATTTTACAAATTAAAATTATTATCTCTACAAATTACAATTATATTATTTCAAGAAGTTCATGATTATAAATTAATTTCTACTCATCATCTATGTATCGATTTTGTATGCATAATCTATTATAGTTTTAAAAAAAAATTCATCTTTACAAATAAAAATGATAATATTTTTAAAAAATATGATAATAAATTAAATTATAAAATGCCACAATATTATTATATTTATCAAATAAAATTTATTCACAAAATATTGGAAAAATCTTGAATACAAATTAAATTCTAAAACTATATAATTCTCAAACATGACCACGCACTTATTTTATACACCTATGTATATTATGTGTGATTATGTACATAACAGTCATACATGTATATAACAGACCATGCAACTATTTTTTAGACATGGGTAAAAATTTTTAGATTAAACTTTTACCGAACAATAACACACACATCATATACAGTTCAAAATAAAATCTATGGTGATAATTTATAAGTTTTATATATGTATACGTATGCATATATATATATATGTGTGTGTTTATGTAAATAAATGAACTACATATATATAACAGACCATTTGGCTGTCTGATTACTTCATTGGGATGTTTAATTTTTTTTTATCCATATGTTAATTGAATATATTCCTATTAAAAATAATTCCAACATATTATACATAGTAACGTCTTTTAAAAAAACTATAAAATTAAATAGATTTAGTGGGTAAATAAATACTAATAGGAGTGGAGGTTAGCATAAAAGGTAACGTTCCCAAAATAACTATAATTATATCAATTGAGTGATTAAAATTTTGAGTAATTAACATTTATTTTTGAAAAACCACAATACCCAAGACTTTAACATCCATTAATAGCAGCCGCCGCTTGATATTTCGTCCTTCAATATTTATGTCTACTGAGTGGAGGTTACATTCAGAATTTATCATCCTGACGAATCATTTGGCCAAATTGAATTATTTCGTCATTGACCATGCGGTCTTTAATCACATTTATGTCAAATAATTTAATAATAAAATAATTAGAATAACGTTAGCCCATAATTTACCAAAACGTCTTTGCTCATGCAACATCAGAATGTCTTTGCTACATTATATAAACCTCTCTGTTCATGTCCTCCTGATTTACCAGAAAATATTATTCATATCTCAAAGACGCTGTTGCACAAAAACTTTACTATTTTTAAAAAATATGGCTTCCTTTGGATTTCATACTCTTCCTCCGTGTCAAATGTTATCTGATCTCCGAATTGGTCGACCAATGCAACGAGTAGTTGGTCGATTATTAAGGTTTTGGGAAGCTCGAAATATCAAAAAATGTGGTGAGCTCATGAGTCTCGATTTTTTACTCATCGATGAAAAGGTATACCGAATTACATATACTATTTCTGCTATTTTATTTGTTTATTGTGATCACAAAAGTCATTGTTTAATTTACTTAAAATATTCTTATCTTTGTGTTTTTTTTCCTCACCTACAGTCTACCGTTATTCAAGGATCAATAAGCCGGCAGCGTTTGAGTGACTACAAAGATATATTACGTGAAGGAGCTCTTTATGTTCTAACTGATTTTGACGTTGTTAGGTCTAACGAATTGTTCAAGCTAACCGATTTCACGTTAGCTATTCGCTTTAAGGATAAAACAAATATTTTAGAAGTTGAAGACATCGCTAATGAAATACCTAAAGAGTTTTTTAGGTTTCGCGATTACGATGAATTGATTGCTTTGGCTAATAGCAATGAAGAATTACCGGGTGAATTGATATTTTATCTTATGTGACTATGTTTCATTTTTTGGATTTTCTTAAATTATTTATTGTCCGATAGTAATCTTTTGGTTTTATTAACTCGTAGATGTTATTGGTCGAGTCCGAAGTATCAAAGATACTAATAATGAACATTCGTTGTCCAAGCAAAGAATTGTGTTAGATCTACAAATGGCAAGGTATATATATATTTACATGGTTGTATCTTCCAATATTATAATATTCTTCGAACATGTGTTATATTATATGTGGTATTTTAATTTTTTCTTTTTCGTTATGTTTCATGTTCTTGTAGTGCCAAAGACATTCGAGTCACTGCATGGGATGCGAAAGCTGATGATCTTCGTGTGAAATTGGAGAAAACAACTATTCAACCAACTGTGATTTTAGTCACTAATATAAATCCAAAATTGGTCGGAGGTAATATTTCATAAGCCCCCAATTTAACGGGGTTTTTTTTCCCTATCATGATGTTACGCATTATTATTAGGAGTGAATGTGTCATGGGGTTGTGGTATGGTATGATTACATATTTTGGAATTTTCCTACGGTGACAATATATATAAGAGGTATGTGTTTTTCACAAATTTTAATTTCAACAGTTTTTCCACTTTAATCATGTCAGGTAAAGAAGGGAACTTTTGTGTAATTTATTTATTCGAATAATGCAATATAAGAGACAAACCTTTATCCGGTTTGGGGTACTGATTTGTAAAAAACTAATCCATGATTTAACTTTGGTTAATCATACACACGATAAATTTAGAGTTTTTATCGCTTATGAAAAACCATTAAAAGTCTAATAAATCTTTTTCATTCATATAGGAGCATTATATCTCAATACAACATCAGCTTCGAGGTTTTTCTTTGACGACGAGTCCGATGCAAGCCAAAAATTTATCAGCATGTATGTCTCTTAAATTATTTATTTGTTATCATTGTCCAATAAATTACGAAAGTATTTCATAATATTTTTACACAGGTTTAAAGACAACATCGATGTAGCACTAAAAATCGAGGAACCCGTCCATACGGTCATGAAGATGGAAACAGTTTCCATAGAAGAAATGTTTGAATTCATAACGATGTCAAAAAGTCAGGTATACTAATTTACATTGAATTTAAACATATTAGATTTTATAAAGTTTATATAACTCTTATTTTAATAATCTAAATGTACACAATTCATTCTAAAAAAATAATCATCTTCTTATCCAATTATAGGAAGCAGATTTTTTATGCAAAGCTACGGTTACTGAAGTTATGACTAAAAATGGTTGGACCTACATCGCTTGTAGTAAGTGCTCTAGAAAATTAACGAAAGTATCAACAACGTTGGTATGTAACTATTGCCACGACACAAATGCTGTTGGAGTGCTAAGGTATTTCT